ATTCAGTGAAAACTACTAAATTCTGATCGCATTGACAATTCTCAGATTTACTAAAGCCAAATGTGGTCAGGATTCAGTTGTTACGACCGATTTTGTAACGTTGGTTCGGATGATTTTGGAAAATCTCTAATATCTGCATCACAGTACATGGACATAGTCCCCCCTGAGCCCCCACCGGTGGGCATCGGGTTAGAGAAACTTTACATTTAAAGGGGGGGGCTATTAATCCCTCCCATGGCCCCACTCATGCCAGTGGGTGTAGGCCCTAAAACTTACATTGCCCCATTGTTAATTTCTATTTACTGGGCAGATATGGTTGCCTAATTGCTTTTGTTGTTAATATAAAGTAGATAAATCTGGGACCGAAGTTGAAGCTTCCTGGTCCAGATGAAATACCCAGTATTTAAACATACCCAGTCCAGCATAGAACTCAGAGCTCCATCAGCTGTTCCATGGCCATTTGAAACAGTCTGATTTTTAAACATACCCAGTCCAGCATAGAACTCAGAGCTCCATCAGCTGTTCCATGGCCATTTGAAACAGGTAGCCTTCTGGAAGACTGGCATTTCATTATATTTCTACATACCCTGTTAATATTGTTGTATGTGTATGTTTTTATATTTAGTGACTATTATTTAGTTTTATTATTTTCCATGTATACATTTTCATGTCTTTGTAACTATAGCCTGTGCTAAGCATGCAAAGTATTTTAGCACCTTTGTCTTTGTCCTTCATGTTAAACGTTAGTTTAACCAGCTCAGGACCATATATCTTTCCTGTTCCTTATTTAATGATTTTATTTCCCTACTTAAATACCTCTGTCTTATCTCTGTAATTCTCAATCTTAGCTTTTGTTTTTCCTTAAATGACCTTAAATCAAATGTGCCCCCCCCCCAATCTCTTAGCCCATCTGACCCTAATAAACATCTCTCTCCCACTGTCTGATTTTTAAACATACCCAGTCCAGCATAGAACTCAGAGCTCCATCAGCTGTTCAATGGCCATTTGAAACAGGTAGCTTTCTGGAAGAAGGATTCTCAATACCACTAACATGAATCCAAATATAACCATACTGTTATTCTTAATAACCCTTTTCTCAATCCAATTTTGTTCACACCACTACCAGCATAAGCACACACCTCAAACTGGAACACAAATGATCATACAGGGAGTGCAGAATTATTAGGCAAGTTGTATTTTTGAGGATTAATTTTATTATTGAACAACAACCATGTTCTCAATGAACCCAAAAAACTAATTAATAACAAAGCTGAATATTTTTGGAAGTAGTTTTTAGTTTGTTTTTAGTTTTAGCTATGTTAGGTGGATATCTGTGTGTGCAGGTGACTATTACTGTGCATAATTATTAGGCAACTTAACAAAAAACAAATATATACCCATTTCAATGATTTATTATTACCAGTGAAACCAATATAACATCTCAACATTCACAAATATACATTTCTGACATTCAAAAACAAAACAAAAACAAATCAGTGACCAATATAGCCACCTTTCTTTGCAAGGACACTCAAAAGCCTGCCATCCATGGATTCTGTCAGTGTTTTGATCTGTTCACCATCAACATTGCGTGCAGCAGCAACCACAACCTCCCAGACACTGTTCAGAGAGGTGTACTGTTTTCCCTCCTTGTAAATCTCACATTTGATGATGGACCACAGGTTCTCAATGGGGTTCAGATCAGGTGAACAAGGAGGCCATGTCATTAGATTTTCTTCTTTATACCCTTTCTTGCCAGCCACGCTGTGGAGTACTTGGACGCGTGTGATGGAGCATTGTCCTGCATGAAAATCATGTTTTCTTGAAGGATGCAGACTTCTTCCTGTACCACTGCTTGAAGAAGGTGTCTTCCAGGAACTGGCAGTAGGACTGGGAGTTGAGCTTGACTCCATCCTCAACCGAAAAGGCCCCACAAGCTCATCTTTGATGATACCAGCCCAAACCAGTACTCCACCTCCACCTTGCTGGCGTCTGAGTCGGACTGGAGCTCTCTGCCCTTTACCAATCCAGCCATGGGCCCATCCATCTGGCCCATCAAGACTCACTCTCATTTCATCAGTCCATAAAACCTTAGAAAAAATCAGTCTTGAGATATTTCTTGGCCCAGTCTTGACGTTTCAGCTTGTGTGTCTTGTTCAGTGGTGGTCGTCTTTCAGCCTTTCTTACCTTGGCCATGTCTCTGAGTATTGCACACCTTGTGCTTTTGGGCACTCCAGTGATGTTGCAGCTCTGAAATATGGCCAAACTGGTGGCAAGTGGCCAGGGGCGGACTGACCGGTCGGGCACTTCGGACACGGTCCGAGGGCCCGGCCGGGAGGGGGGCCCGCCGCCAGGGCCGCCTTCAGGGGGCCCGGCGGCAGGGCTGGATTGGGGGCGGCATTTGGGGACTGCAGGTGCCACCGGGTGGCCGGTCCGGTGGCACACTGTGAGGGGGGGGCGGCCGTTTGATGCTGAAGCCGCCGGACCGGGTGGCAGCCTCGCCGGTCCGGCGGCATTCCTCTTACTAACAGTGGAGGAGGAGCATTTGTCTGTCATGCTCCCTGCGGTTCCCACAATTCCCAGCACAGGATGTGGGAACCGCAGGGAGCATGATAGACACATGCTCCTCCTCCTCCTCTAGCGTTAGTGAGAGGAATGCCGCCGGACCGGGCGACAAGCCACCCGTCCGGGCGCTCCAGCATGAACGGCCGCCCCCTCTGACGAAGGGGGATAGAGATGGGGGGAAGAGGGGGAACAGATAAGGGAGAGGGAGGGTGGAAAAGAGACATGGGGAGTGGGGAGATAGAGGGGAACAGAGATATGGGAGAGGGAGGGGGAACAGAGATATGGGGAGAGGGAGGGAAAGAGATATGGGAGAGGGAGGGGGAAATCACAGATATGGGGAGAGAGGGGAGAAAGAGGGGGAACAGAGATATGGGGGAGGGAGAAAGAGGGAACAGAGATATGGGGAGAAAGAGGGGGGAACAGAGATATGGGGAGGGGGGAGACAGACAGAGAGGGAAGAATGAGACACTGGGAGAAAGAGGGGGAATAGAGAGATAGGGAGGGGGAGAAAGAGACACAGGGGGAGAAAGAGATGGGGAGGGGGAGAAAGAGACAGAGAGGAAGAGAGATGTGGGGGAGAGAGAGAGACAGGGAAAGGGGGGAGAAAAACAGTGGAAGAGAGGGAGAAAGAGGCAGAGGGGTAAGAGAGACTGGGAAGGAGGGGGGAGAAAGAAACATACAGAGGGACGGGGGGAGACAAAAAGGCACACAGAAGGGCTGTATATATCACTGGTGGATCCAGGGGGGCAACAGGGCAATTGCTCCCCCTCCCCTGTCCGCAGGCACCGTGCGGGCAGGGGAGGAAGGAAGAGAGGACCTGGGAGCTCACCCTGCAGCTCCACTCGGTCCTTCTTGCACGAGCACAGAGCGTTGCCGCGATTACCATGGCAACGTTACCGCTCTTGCGAGAGTCAACTCTAGCCCTGGAGCTACGGTCTAGTGTTCACTCTCAACACTGTGACCCCCAGGGATTCCTGGTGGTCGCAGTGGTGAGAGTGAACTCTAGCCCCATAAACACACTGCCCCCACACACACACCATACACATTCACACACTGCCCCATACACACCATACACATTTACACACATTGCCTCACACACACACATGCACTGCCCACCCATATACACACATACCCCCATACACAGCCCCCCATACACAGCCCCCCATACTAACATTGCCACACACATACACTGCCCACACACCCCACACATTCACACACTACACCCCCACACACACACTGAACCTTTCACACACATTGCACCACTGCTCCTATTCCCTACTACAGCCTCATATCCCAGCAGACCCCAGGTAAGTTGTCAAACTGTTCTTAAATGGTTTGACTACTTACTCTGGAGCAGTAGTGGTTATTGTGCATGGATTATTTATTTAAATAATCTACAAGTGCCCCAGTAGCCAGCCAGCCAACCCACAGGCTGGCCAGTAGCCAGCCAGTTAGCCAGCCCACAGGCCAGTAGCCAGCCAGTTAGCCAGCCCACAGGCCAGTAGCCAGCCCACAGGCCTACAGCAAGCCACAGGCTTACAGCCAGCAAGCCACAGCCTGCCAGCCGCAGTCAGCAAGCCCACAGCCTGCCGGCAGTAGCCAGCAAGCCCACAGCCTGCCGGCAGTAGCCAGCAAGCCCACAGCCTGCCGGCAGTAGCCAGCAAGCCCACAGCCTGCCAGCCGCAGCCAGCAAGCCCACAGACTGCCAGCCAGCACTGCCAGCCAGCAACAGTAATTAAGGTAAGAGGAGCCAACTTGGCCTAGGTATCAGTGAGTTGTGTTGCTATATTGTGAATAGGAACCAGAGTGTTGGAGAAACCACCCTCCAGGCCCCATTAGACTCCATTGTAGTCTCTAATGGGGCCTGGAGGCGACTGTTTCCAGCAGGGGATATCTAATGGACGCTGAGATGACCTCTGTTAGAAAGACCCCCTTCCAAGCCTATTAGACTCCATTGTAGTCTCTAATGGGGCCTTGAGGGGATTCTTTCTAACACACTCTCTAAAGGACACTGAGATAGCCTCCGCTAGAAAGACCCCCCTCCATGGCCCATTAGCCCTCAATTGTAGTCTCTACTGGGGCCTCGAAGGGCTTATTGCCCTTTTGTTCCTTGTGTCTAAAGATTGTGTAGGGTGTGGCTGGAGGCGGGACAAGGGTGGCGCTTGCTGCAGAGTATGGGTGGGGCCTGTAAGGGGGCCCTTGATTTATTTTGCCCGGGGTCCCTGAGGGTTCTCAGTCCGCCCCTGTTAGTAAGTATCACATGTGCTAAACATCGTACACATTTAGTACCAGCAAGTACAATATTTTACATGGAATAGGTACAACAATGATTGCAGGTTATAGCAGGGTACAAGTTTTAGTACCTGTTGCGTATTAAGCTTATGTGTTATTACTTTACAGTATGTGGTCATTGTGCGTGTAGTAGGTATATCAGGTAAAGCTGCGTTTTAGGTGTAGCTCCATTTAATAAACAGTTGGTGAGAGCACACTACACACAATGACACTTTACCCTTAATTTTCTAAAAGTCTGCAATCTTATCATTGCTTTATTTATTCCTGTATATGAAATATAGAAAACAGGAAAAAAACGCACATAGAGTAATAACGTTTAAGTCTAGTTTGTGACTTGGACTTAAAAAGGGCTTCACTCACATGGTTTTAACACAAGCTGGCTCAAACTACAGGCATGGATAATATCAACACACCAGGCTGCTCCCCCTCCGTAGTCCTTCCATTATATTCAAGTATTCCAGGATGCAAGGGATTTGAAATAACAATTTTATTGGACACACTAAAAAATTGGGGTAAAAACAAACACTGGGTATAAATAAATAAGAAGTCCATTTGAGGTGTTTTGGCCTGGGCCTTTATCAAAAGTCTAATCATCTTCCTCATTCCAAATAATTTAAATATGTCCGGTTTTGGTGCCCTTTTCGGCTTTGGCGCCAATTTTCTTTCTACTTCCGGTATCAGGGCTGCATCCTATGCCCTGATCACCTTCCGATGTCACTTCCGGTTCACATGGTGTAGCGTCTGATGCAACTTCCGGTCCTACGTCCGGTTCGGACTGAAAGCTCTGCAAATTTGCCAGTACTAAAAATGTCCTTTTCGGCACTAGACACTAGCAATACATATCCTTATACATATAGCAATAAATGTCCATTCTTTAAAGGACCACTCTAGGCACCCAGACCACTTCAGCTTAATGAAGTGGTCTGGGTGCCAGGTCCTTCTAGGGTTAACCCATTTTTTCATAATTATAGCAGTTTCAGAGAAACTGCTATAATTATGAATGGGTTAAGCCTTCCCCCTAATCCTCTAGTGGCTGTCTCATTGACAGCCACTAGAAGCGCTTGCGTGCTTCTCACTGTGATTTTCACAGTGAGAGCACGCCAGCGTCCATAGGAAAGCATTGTAAATGCTTTCCTATGAGACCGGCTGAATGCGCGCGCAGCTCTTGCCGCGCGTGCGCATTCAGCCGGCGGGGCGTAACAGAGGCGGAGAGGAGGAGGAGAGCTCTCCGCCCAGCGCTGGAAAAAGGTAAGTTTAAACACCTTTCCCCCTTCCAGAGCCGGGCGGGAGGGGGTCCCTGAGGGTGGGGACACCCTCAGGGCACTATAGTGCCAGGAAAACGAGTATGTTTTCCTGGCACTATAGTGGTCCTTTAATGAGCATCCACACATTTGTACTTAAGAATACATGTTTCCATTAATGATTAACAAACAAATTGTAGTCTAACAGGATGTGTATATATCTTAAAGCTTCATACACTAATAACCATCTTAACATAGTTACCAGAGGGGAGCACATAAATTATTCCCTCTTAATAGCAGCAATATTACCATCAATTTAGGGACAACAGAAACAAAAAAGGGGAGAGAAAAAGGGAAATTCATTAATCTAACATAAAACCCAAAAAGGTCACAGATAAAACAGCATTTCAAGTAATAAATAATTCAAGTACTCGTTTTGAAGATCAACCCATCCTTATATAGATAAAAGATTTTTAAAATTTATCAAAAAATAATTTTACATATTTCCTAAAAAATACCTTCAAATAATATAATATAAATAATGCACTAAATCTTTTCTTTACTAAAAATTATTTAAAAATATAAATATAAAAATATGTATAATAAATATTAAATAATATATATAAAAATTAGAATTAAAAATTAAAAAACAACCCTATCTATATATATATATATATATATGGGGTGATCTCAAAGTCAACATTCAGCCCTTGTGGTATTAGTGTATCAATGTCGAAAAATCCATTTCATTTCATTTCTATTCAAGAGACGCTCCTTATCTCCCCCTCTCCAGTGTACTTTTATTTGTTCTATTCCAATAAATTCTAGATTTTTTGGATCTGCATTATGGCATTCCAAAAAATGATTTTCATATTTACGACTGATATTATAGATATGTTCCCTAATTCTAATTTTTAAACATCGTGAGGTCCTACCTATATATTGTAACCCGCAGGGGCAAATAAGCACATATATAACATCCTTACTGTTACAGGAGATAAAAGATCTGATGTTATACTCTTTCTTTGTAGTATTGGATGTAAATGTTAAAACCTTTTTATGTTTGTCTCTCCTCAATTTACACCCCCTACATTCACCACAATAGAAAAACCCATTGGGTTGCTTTAAAAAATTGGTTCTTTTATCCTCAACATTTAAAAAACTTTACTGAGAGGGTAGTGGATGCATGGAATAGCCTTCCAGCTTAAGTGGTAAGGGTTAACACAGTAAAGGAGTTTAAGCATGCGTGGGATAGGCATAAGGCTATCCTAACTATAAGATAAGGCAAGGGACTAATGAAAGTATTTAGAAAATTGGTCAGACTAGATGGGCCGAATGGTTCTTATCTGCCGTCACATTCTATGTTTCTATGTTACTTTAAAAGTTGTTTCCTATCAACTTGTTCAACTTCTCTAAAAGCTTTTTCTAAAAGACTTGCATCATATCCAAATGCATTGCTTGTTGCTTATATTCTTCCTCTACCGTACAATTCCGTTTTAGTCTTAGCATTTGTCCTTTTGGGATATTGTTTAACCATGGTTTAAAATGGCAGCTTGTACAATCAATAAAACTAATAACATCCACAGACTTAAAAAAATGTTCTACTTTTAATTTGCTGCTTCTCTATATAAATAGATAGGTCTAAAAAATTAACTTTAATACGGCTAAAATCATATGTGGGGGGTAATATTCCATTCGTTTAAATTAAAAAACGATTTTAAAGATTCCTCACTCCCATTCCAAACTATAAAAATATCGTCAATGTAACGCGTATAGAGGACCAGATTTGCCCCAAATTCCTCGTTTGAATCAATGAATAAATCCTCCCAATAGGACATAAATAAATTAGCACAAGTCGGGGCAAATCTGGTCCCCATAGCCGTACCTTTAACATGTAAATAAAATCTATCCTCAAACCAGAAGAAATTATTCCTTAAAATCATATTTATTCCTTCTATAATAAAATCAATCTGTGAATCAGGTAAAAAAAAAAATATGTAGCAGCCTCACACCCTTTCTCATGTTGGATGTTAGTGTAGAGGCTGCTTACGTCACAAGTTGCCATTATAAAACTATCACTCCACTTAAAACCATCTAAAATATTTAAAAGGCTCATAGTGTCTTTGAGATATGCCTTACATTTTTTCACCGGACCCTGTAAAAAATAATCGATATATTGTGATAGTGGCGATAAAAGTGACCCAATCCCAGACACAATGGGTCTCCCCGGCGGGCTATTTACATCTTTATGGATTTTTGGGAGAACATATAGAACTGGGATCCTCGGGAACTTAACATTTAAAAATGCAAATTCTTTCTTATTTAAAATTCCCTCCTCCAATCCTCTGTTTAAAAATATTTGGTAAATTGCCACAATATCTGTCAAGGTTTTTTTTGAAAGTGCAGCTGGTTATATATCTCCTTCGTATATTCTTCTAGCTCCATTTAATACTACAATTTTAGGATTTTTGCCATAAGAGGCCTGCGCACCCCTGCTTTTGTCCTTCTCCTAAGGAGGCGTAATTTGTACCTCAACTCTGGTTAACTGCTAAGATAGAAAGGTTACATAGAAACAAAAGGGGTATGTAAGGGGTTCACTCCAGTAACTCTCTTGAAACTGTGAACTTATTTTGCGTCTTGCATATCTTTAACTAACCTAATTAAGAGGACTAAAATGGCTGCCTTGGGCCAGATTTCCCTGTGCTCCCTCCGTCCAACCCCATCCCTGGGTGGGTAAATTAAACATAGCGGTTATAAAAAGGCAAAGGGCCTATTAGAAAGCATCTCACATGCCAGACATTGAACACCCTGGTGCCAGCATGCTCAAATTTTAACATGGTACAGGTATATCAAGGGTGCATGATATGACGTAGTGCAACTTGTAGTTATAAATCACTTGCATAGAAATATGTTATATTGCCTGATCCTTATACATATAAAAGGTATATCAGGTAGAGCTACATTATGGGTTTAGCATCAATTAATACATCAGCTGCAAAGGTTGTACCATGAGAAGCTTTGTCGTCATCAGTACCCTTGGTTGTTTGATCGCTAAGACGGAAAGGGATTGGTAGGAAAAAGAGAGAAAGAAAAAGGAGGGGGGGAAGCAGTGGCGTACACATGACCTATGGGGCCCCGGTGCGACAATTGATCCATGGGCCCCCTCCCCCCCGCACGCGGGCCGGGCCGCAACACATAGCGGTGGGCACCTGGTCGCAGGGGTTACAGGGCTGCGACCGCGGTATGTATGCCAGTGCATGCAGATGCACACACTTAAAGGACCACTACAGACACCCAGATCACATCAGCTCAATGAAGTTGTCTGGGTGTCAGGTCCCTCTAGTTTTAACCCTGCAGCTGAAAACATAGCAGTCGCATTCGAAGCTGAGAGGCTGAGGGATCCCCAGCGCCAATGGAGTCCGGCGCTGGAGAAAGGTAAGTGCTGAAGACACACACACTCTCACTTACAGACGCATACACACTAGCTAACAGACACACACATTTACTGACAGAGACACACTCAGCGACAGACATACATACACACTCACTTACAAAACATACACTCTCATTGACAAACACAAACTCACTAACAGACATCAAACAGACTCACTAACACACACACACACTCAGAAAGACACACACAGTAACACACTCACTGACACTCACTAGCAGACACACACACTAACACTCACTCTAACACTCACACACACTAACACTAACACACACTAACACTCACTAGCAGACACACACACTAACTCTAACACTCACACTCACTCTAACACTCACACTCACTCTAACACTCACTCTAACACTCACTCTAACACTAACACTCACACATGTTTTTTTTTTTTTAAATATATCCCAAATATGCCAAAGATTTACCTCGCCATTCAAAGTCGTACTTGGTTTGTAAGGTTTGCTTAAGTTGTTTCAGTAAATTGATGGGTAATGCCTGTGTTTTGGACGTATTATTTTTATAATATGAAATTTGACCATATAGGGAGAGCTGGTGCATTAATGGTGGTAGGGAGTTAAGTGGTTCGCACAAAAATATAAAAATGTCATCTGCAAATACCGCTAGTTTTTTTTCCCCAGCCGGGGTCGACAGGCCTTTAATTGCTGTAGTGGATTTAATGCTACGGATTAGAGGTTCTAAGCAAAGAATAAATATAAGAGGTGAGAGAGGGCAACCTTGGCGCGTACCTTTGGAGATATGGAATGCAGATGACAGGAAACCAGTATTAAAGACCTTTGCCGTGGGATTGGAATAGAGTACCTTAATGCTCCGGACAAAAGCCTTGGAGAAGCCCAACCTGGAGAGCGTAGCATCCATATAGGACCAGTTTAAACGGTCAAAGGCCTTCTCCGCGTCCAAATCCAAAAGAATGCCTAACTGAGAGCTATTGTTCGCCCATTCTATCAGGTCCATTGCCAATTGGGTATTGTCCCCCACCTGCCGGTTCAGGACAAACCCTGCTTGTTCACCCGAGACTAGCTGCGGGAGTAATGGTTTAATTCGGGATGCAAGGAGCATTAAGCAGCGATATAGGGAGTAGATTGGTGCATAAGGTGGGTTTGTTTGGTTTTGGTAAAGTTACTACATGTGCCTCTAACATCTCTGGAGGTATCGTGCCGCGCAGCCTAATATCATTAAAAAGTTGTGAGATGTGGAGTTAGTATGTTAATGAACTTAATATAATAATAGTTAGACAGGCCATCTGGCCCTGGTGCCTTATGCTTTGGAAGTGTGCGGATTGCAGATCTAATTTCATCTTCCTCGAATGGGGCGTCTAAGGATTGAGCTTGTTGGGTAGTGAGCGATGGAAGATGCACGTCATTCATGAAATTTTCTATTCCAAGTTTGTTTGGTGTATACGTTTCGTGATCATCCTTTAAATTATATAGGTGTTTATAAAATTGTGCCAATTCTTCTACTATGTGATGGGGGTTGAACAGTTTATCCCCGGTTATAGATTGAATATAGGATATTTTGGTCTGGAGATATTTAGATTTGAGTTTTTTGGCTAGTAGTTTCCCTGCTTTATTACCCATCACATAGTGTATCTGCTTAAGAGATCTCAAATGTCGTTCTGTGGTTATAAGAGACAACCAGTTGAGTTCATTATTAATGGTGGCTATTTGTTTGGAGATATTTTTCGATGGTCATCGTTTATTTTGGTCATCTAAATTGGCTAAGTCTTGGAGGAGTCGTGTCTGGTTCTCTGCGTTGCATCTTTTTGTTATTGATCCTGGTTGTATCAGAGCTCCCCGTAAAACCGCTTTATGGGCCAACCAAAGGGAGTGTTCGGGCATGTCAGGAGTTTGATTTGTCTGAAAATAAGCCTGTAAATCCTTGGTTAGTCTGGCCATGTGTGTGGGCTCATCTAGTAGGGTTTCGTTCAACCTCCATTTGCCCCTGCCTCTAGCCGGGTGTGAGGGGTTCAGAGTAACACATACAGATGCGTTGTCTGACCACGTTCGTGGACCTATGGTGTTTTCCTTGATAGGAAATAGTCCCTAGAAGATGGATACAGTATGTGCCAGGTATCGTACAGGTCATGAGAGTATAATTCGTGGGTTAAATATTGGATTAGTTGACGGGATAATGAGGTAGGGGCCTTATCATCCACCCTTTTAATATCCAGTGCAGGGTCAAGAGTGCAATTGAAATCCCCACACACAATGAGGTGGCCTTTGTGAAGCTTCATTATTTTCTTAACAGCGGTATGCAAAAATGAGCGTTGGGCATCATTGGGTGCATATAAACAGGCCATAGTAAGTTGAATACCATTTAAGGTGCCAACCAGGATCAGAAGCCTACCTTTTTGGTCATCGTATTTATGTTCAATATCATAGACCCAGTCAGAGTGTATGTAAATAGCCACCCCTCTAGATTTATGGGGCGAGTAAGCATTGTACGCCATTGGGTATTTGCGGGAAATCAAGCGGGGGGGAGGGGGTTTCGTTTACAAAAATGTGTCTCTTGTAGGCAAATTATTGCCGCACCAGACCTGTGCATTTCGCAGATTACCAAGCGCCGTTAATGGGGGTGATTCAGCCCTTTTACATTGTAGGTGATAATTTTAAGTTGGTCCGTCATTGGGACTCAATATATGGTGTATCTAATGTGCGAGATGTGCCCTCACAGTGTATATATCCTGGTCGCAATGTGGTCCCTTCCTAAACCTCGCTGGGTACGGAAGAAGCTGACAAGTGAGAGGAGCTCCCTATCTAGCATATTTAGCATATAGCTTTTTAAAGGAGCCTGGAGTGAAGGATAGGGTCAAAAACACAGGAAAGAGGGGGGTTTGACAAAAGAAAAAAGCTGAACAAAAATATATACACCTTGCTCTTATCTCTAAGAGCCAACAACTTGGCTGAGTTGTGGGCGGGTGAGGATAATGAAGCTAATGGAATATAGATAATATATTGTAGGTAATAGAATATAGCTAATATAATGCAGGTAATAAAATGTAGCTAATAGAATGTAGGTAGTAGCATTCCCCACCCGGGGAGAGGAGGTGGGTAGATCTGGAGTCACTAATGGTGGGGGCGGACATTCCACAGCTACTCATATGGGTCCCCAAAGAACATAGACCAATCATTAGATCGACCTGTCCAGCTATCCTAAACTCTATACATATTTGGGATAGAGCTCAACGGCGACACGGGCTGGCTTCAACCCCATCACCTCTGATGCCGTACCTAAGAAATAGAGCATTCCCTCCGGGCATGGCAGCGCGCAACTTTAGGAACCTAGAGAGACTAGGCTTGCAGCGCGTATATCAGCTAGTGCAGGATACAGAGGTAGTGACTTTCGATGCCTTACAACAAAGGGGGCACCTCACTCCCGCTGATTTTTTCAGGTACCTACAAATAAGAGATTTTGCTAAACTGACGTGGGTCCGTGCGGCGGCCCAAAAGCCCTTGACTTTTTTCGAACAAATTTGCATTCAGGACCATATGCCTAAAGGCCTGATAACTCGGCTGTACGCCCACCTCTGCTCAGTGCCTAACGAAGAGGGTGGGCTGACGTACATGGACCATTGGGAAAGAGACCTAGGGGAACAACTAGAAGGGATAGAATGGCAGGAGATTTGGGAAGCCAACCAAAAATCCTCTGTTTGCGTAACGTTCCAGGAGCAGGCGATTAAGACGATGCTCCGCTGGTACACAACGCCTGTAAAACTGTATCAAATGAAGAAGAGCACTACGGATGTATGTTGGAGAGGGTGCGGAATTAAAGGGACGTATATCCACATGTGGTGGGAATGCCCACTGATAGCAAGCTTCTGGCACCAAATTAAGGACCTACTAACCCAGGTCCTGAGCAGGTCTCCCCCCCTAGACCCGTGGGTATATCTGCTCAGCAGAAAGATAGATGGGTGGTCTAGAAACGAGCAAAAACTTATACATAACATAACTCTGGCAGCTAGGAGAGCAGTGGCAGCGGACTGGCTAAATCAAACCACCCCACAGATGGCAGCAGTCGTCAATAGAATTAAAGAAGTCCACTTGTTGGACGATCTGACAGCAAGAGTCAGGGGCACCCAAAAACGGTCCCAAAAAATATGGTCTCCTTGGGAAGACTGTCCCTTGAGCTGAACCACCTGGCGGGTTTTCTCTTCATTTTAGGCCCCACCGATCAGGAACCTCTTTGGAAGATGCCCCCCCACCCCCACCTTTTCTTTAATCCTCTCCCTCTTCTCTTTCTCTAACTCTGTCTACCTGGATACCACAGGTATAAACATGACAGTATACAAAATAACATATTCGCGAGCTTTGTTATAAATAAAATGTACATGGCAGGGGGTGGGGCTGCGAAGCTCTATTCCTCCATATCGTGGTGGCTTATGCTTTGGGTGACAGGAGGTATCCTGTTTTACAATGTATGTGTCAATCTGTTACAAACTGTGCAATGCTCTCGAGTTGTACATGTTCTCTTTGTCAACATAAATAAAGAATTAAAAAAAAAAAAAAGAATGTAGGTAGTAGAATCTGGGTATTAGAATGTGGGTATTTTAATGAAGGTAATAGAATGTAGGTAATAGAATGTGGGTATTAGAATGTGGGTATTAGGACGTAGGTAATAGAATGTAGGTAATATAATGTAGCTAATAAAATGCGGGTATTAGAATGTAGATAGTAGAATGTGGGTAATAGAATGTGGGTATTAGAATCTAGGTAATAGAATGTGGGTAATAGAATGTAGGTAATAGAATGTGGGCATTAGAATGTGGGTATTAGAATCTAGGTAATAGAATGTGGGTAATAGAATGTAGGTAATAGAATGTGGGCATTAGAATGTGGGTATTAGAATCTAAGTAATAGAATGTGGGTAATAGAATGTAGGTAATAGAATGTGGGTATTAGAATGTGGGTATTAGAATCTAGGTAATAGAATGTGGGTAATTGAATGTAGCTAATAGAATGTGGGTATTAAAATGTGGGTATTAGACTGTCGGTAATATAATGTAGCTAATATAATGTAGGTAATAGAATGAAGGTAATGGAATATAGATAATATATTGTAGGTAATAGAATGTAGCTAATAGAATCTAGGTAATAGAATGTGGGTATTAGACTGTCGGTATTATAATGTAGCTAATATAATGTAGGTAATAGAATGAAGGTAATGGAATATAGATAATATATATTAGGTAATAGACTGTAGGTAATAGAATGTAGGTAATAGAATGTGGGTAATAGAATGTGGGTAATAGAATATAGCCAGGCAATCTGTAGCTCTGCAATCCTGGCTTCTTTAAGGAATCCTCTACTCTTTGTTCTGTGAGAAGCAATGGCCTATCGTGCTCCCTCTTACAATGACAGTATTTAGTAGAGTAAGACATTTGCTCTGTATTGCTGTGTATATGCCCCATGAAGGAATTTGCTTATAATTGTGTCTGTAAATGTACAAGTTTGTTTCTTTTGCGTGTGTCTTATTTGTCTTTGTTTTATAGGCTCCTCTGAGGCTCCAACGTATAACGCCACGATACCAGGACCAGGTAATTAACACATTAATATTCTTTTCACTCCAGAAACGCATAAATCACTTAATAAATTAATAAACGTGAGCACAACATATATGGTAATAATAGTGAGCACAACATGCATAAATATATATAGAGAAACGGGACTCAATATTTGAAGTTTTTTTTGTTAATTTTACTTAGTTTTTTTTTTTTTTTTTTTAGTTACCACTAAAATGCTGACATACAGCTCCGCGATACCCAGTAAGTTACACATGGTAAAGGTAAGATATTAAAATCACATTGTTCTCAGATTTGTGTACAGTTCGTCCAAATCGATTCATCTGAAAAAATCGTTTTAGACAATTCAGGTTTTGTTCGTGTGGCATTTCGGTTCAGATTAATTTCGTCCATGCAATCGTTTTGGGGAAAACTAGTCGATGCACCAAAAGGGCACGAAAATTTGCCAATCAGTACACTGCAAAATATACATATTATTGTTCCTTCATTTGGTTCAAAGATCAAGAGAGAAGTGATAACCAATAGAGGGGAAAAAGGAGTAGTAAAAGATTTATTTAATAATATATAAATATATGTCACAATACTTTACATTAGTCCTGCACGCTCGCGTGGAGAGACTCCTGATGCCGACTCCTCTCAGCTTTGGCACGGCATTTCGGATGCCAGGCGCTACGGCCACGCCCCGTTTTATGAAGCAGCGCATGCGTGCCGACATCATAGCAGCAATGCCGCCAGAAATCTCCATTTTTACCACCCCGTGATGTTTTGGGGGTGTGGTTTTAATAGAGCACATTTTGCCTTGGTTCTGTGCCCTATTGTGGTTCACTTGTTATTCCATTTGTTGTTTTGTGATAGTTCCTTACTGGTATTTGACGTGGCACAGTAATTTGACTATTCTGCTTCTCTGGTATCCCTGACTCGGATCCTTTATTCGTATAAACCTGTTCTGTTTTCTGCTTTCCTGACTCAGCTACTCTTTATTGTTATCCTGATCTCTGGTTTCCTTGTATTTCTGCTATCCCCTGACAATTCGTTCACTAACCAAGTTAAACCCGGCCATTCTTAGGTCCGGTAATACGTTCTCTATATTTTAGGTAGAACTCTGCGTGTTTGGGGTCACTTTATCGTGACATTGTGATAAATTAAAATTTTATTACCGTTCCTCCTTTTTTCCCTCTTCACGTAATGTGTGAAAAAAAACAACTGTTATTGGCTGTCCCCATCTTTTGTTTGGTGAAGCAACTCTTTTATTTTTTGTGCCACAGACAGCATCACGAATCAAATCAAACTGTTCGACCACACATTGTCTGTTTTGTTTGTTTCCTGATTCAGAGTTCAGGATATTAGACAAATAACCAGTGTCACAAAATATGGACAAATCACAATTAGTTTGACATTAAATGCACAAGTCTAGTAATATTTTTGGCAGGGACCAGGTGGAGTCAATGTTAAGCTACTCCCAAGTATCTAGCTTCATGCAAGTACCTTATGGGGAATCCACCATTCATCCTACTTAATAATGGTAACGCTGGGATTATTCTCTAAGATCTAAAACCCACAATTTGAGTTAATTCTGTGATGTTTTTGCTTTTGTAGTCTGCATTTCTGTTATATGTAAGATGGGAAGTGGGCCATTGTCAATCATGCATATTTTGCACAGCAAACTAAAACATAAAATATTTAAGGTAACAGTTATATTTTACTTTTTTTTTAAAGAAAACTTAAATAAACCAATTCCCACCCGAGAACATGTATACACAGGCTAAACCTCATTAGCCTTCTGTCCTGAGCATCTCTGCAGCAGTTACTAGCACACCATAGGAACCATTAAAGGGCAAACTTCATGGCTGTGTTATAGTAGCCATGGAGAAGGGAGAAGGAAGGAGAAAGCATCAACTGAGTGCACTACAGTAGCAGACAGAATGCACTGTATAGTCCATATGCTGTGTATAATCCCCATGATCAGCTCACTATAGAGTTGAGTTTAAAATAAGCAATTAGGAATTTGTTCATAATTTTGAATGTAAATGTACAACTTTGATTCTTTTACACGTCTCCTTTGTCCTTACTTCCAAGGCTCCACTGAGGCTCCAACGTATAACTCTACGGTACCCGGACCAGGTAATTAACACATTAATATTCTTTTCACTCCACAAATGCAGGCAATCAATCAATTAATAAATAATTAAACGTGAGCACAACCTGCATATATACAAATAGAGAAACGGGACTAGGTATTTGAAGTTATTTTATGCGTTTTACTTTGTTTCTGTTCTGTTTCCAGTTACCACTAAAATGCTGACATCCAGTTCCACGTTACCCAGTAAGTTACACATGGTAAAGGTAAGATATTAAAATCACATTGTTTTTAGGTCTGTACACGGTGAAAAAAATTCAGTTTGCCCAAATCGATTCATCTGAAAAAATATATATTTTAGTTGATTTGGGTTTTGCCCATGTGGCATTTCGGTTTAAATGAATTTCGTCCATGCAATCGTTTGAGGGGAAAACTAGTCGATGAACAAAAAGGGCACGAAAACGGGCCATGTTTCATGTAATTATATCTAACGAATGCAGGAATTATGCCTTGAAAAATTTTGAATTAGAGAAAAGGACGTAAAAATTATGATGCTGTTTAAATTGTTACTCTCCGTTAGGATTTTCTACAGAATATCCTGTGTTGACCTCGACAGAATATCCAACTCTGATTTCAGCAGAATATTCCGGATCCTCTGGTTCGAACTCAATGGAATTCCCCGCTAACTCCTCCAACATCCAGCAGTTAGAAGAATGGTTAAGAGTATCTTTCTGGGTACAGTGGTTTTTGTTCCTACATACATTGCTACTGAATGTATTTCAGTCGGTGCAAACTAATCAAATGCCTTTAATCTGCGCCCAAAAGATCAGATCCATCCAACTCCACAGATAAATCCCAGACAGATCGATTTGTTTCCATGTAGATTAATTTAACAACCTGAAACACATTTGTGCACATGACATCTGTTCAATGAGATAAATAATTAGAATGTTTATAATTGACTCCTTTTCTCCAAAAAAGAGCTTAATGTACTTACAGTATTTAACATTAAGTTACATATTTAGCATTGAAGCATATTCCTGAAATAAGTCCCATTTTTAGCTGTGGGCTCTCTTTTTATAGATACCTTGCTGTTTTCAGAGAAGTCTCTTCAGCTCCCATATGTTCTGTAAAAGCCAATAACATTTCCAGTCCCTGTTGGAGTGATTTATGCAATGAGTGAGTTTAGTAAACAGGAAAATAGTGCAGACAGACACCCTGTCACCTCATAAATGTCGCCCCCTTGATGAAAGTCCCCTGAATACAACATCCAATTAATTAATATCATTCATTTGCTCCTACACAGAATCAGTCAATAAATGTTGGACTGGAAACCATCCTTCGTCTGCAACAATATGTGTCTTCTGTCAGTTCTTTTCAGCTAAATAAGGATGAAGTTCCATTAATTTTATACATTTTAGGAAACGTAACGCAAAATGCTAACCAGTCAAACCAGCCCTTCAGTGTGGCCACAGTATTGGTGAGTAGACTGCAATTCATTGATACATTTGTCATGGGTAATTTTGGCCATAGTACGATGAGTGGAAATCCTGCCCATGTTTTATATAGTCCATCCTCCTTGTTGGTGCCTCAGACTCCTTCTAGGCCGCACAATGATTTCTGTGTCTTGGAAGATAAGGAGGGAAAGATTTGTAGACAGGGGCGTCGCTGGGGGGGGCAGAGGGGGCTATGACCTACCCCCCCCACGTCATGCAGTGCCCCCCTTTGGGCCCCAATTTAAATTGAAGACAGGAGCAGTGAGTCTCTCTTCACAAGCCACAGCAGATTCCCCGGCACAAAAGCTCTGCCCCCACATGGAAGCTCCACCCTCTCACATGCAAGCTCCATGCCCACTCTCTACCAGAGGACCTTGCTGCAAGAAGAGACCTCAAAATTGGCTCCCAGTTCTCCCACAGCCTCAGCCTCCAGTGGCAGATAGGCTTCCAAAACTTAGCACTACAGACATGACAAATCTTGTATGTGTATATGTCTGCTAGTTAGTGAGCTTGTGTGTGTGCCAATGAGCTTGTCTGTAGTGAGCATATATGTGTGTGTCAGTGAGCTTGTCTGTTGTGAGCGTGTGTATGTTAGTGAGCTTGTCTGTAGTGAGCTTGCATGTGTGTCAGTGCGCTTGTCTGTAGGTAGTGAACGTGTGTGTCATCTTGTCTTTAGTGAGCATGTGTGTTAGTGAGCTTGTCTGTAGTGAGCATGTGTGTCAGTGAGCTTGTCTGTAGTGAGCTTGTGTGTGTATCAGTGAGCTTGTCTGTAGTGAACTTGTGTGTGAATCAGTGAGCTTGTCTGTAGTGAGCTTATGTGTGTGTCAGCGAGCTTGTCTTGTCATTGATAATCTCAGCCATGGAGGTGGGTCCAGCCATGGCAAAACTGGCACGGCATGGGAAAAAAGATGAGTAAACAACTTTCTCATGTGATCAGAGGAGGCAGGTACCTAAACAGACACTCACTGACAGGCACACACTCTTTGACTCAGACACACACACATTCTGACAGACATACACTGACAGACACACACTCTCTAACTGAGACACACACTGACACGCAGACACACTGACTGAGATACACACACTCTGAAACATACTCTCTGTTCCCCTGCGTGCTCACTGTAGCGATGCCGGGGCCGAAGTGACGTCATGTCCCTAAACAGTGCACGAGGGTGCAGGAACTGCAGGAAAGTTACTGCTCTTTCACATGCCGTCTCCATGCTCCACGCGACGACTGGCTTCAGGGATTCCTGCACTAAAGGGCTGACAAATCCCCGGTGCTAGGGCGAGATTACTAGTCGCCATGGTGACCTAGTGACTAGAACACATATATATACATGTTTTATAACTGCCCCCATACTTTTGTCCCTGGCCCCTCATGTGCCTGCCCCTAAATCTGAATCCTGAAGACATTACTGTTTGTAGGCAGGACTGGGTTGGGCCAAAATATAAGCCCAAGCGTTTCCAAGCTCAGCAGCCCACATTCAGAGTTTGGATCTGCAAATGCAACTTTGTTTTTTGTTTTTTTTTCATTCAGTTCATCATAAAAAACCTGATAAGAAAATGATAAATGGTGGTGTAAATTCAAGTACACAACATGCCCTTCCTGCTATTATACTTTATCTATAAATAACTCATAGTTTAAAAAATCTGAAGGATGGACAAAATTAGGGACATAATAAATTCAAAAAATTATCAAGTAAAATGAGCACACACTCAACATCACCTTCAGATACACACATATAGACTTCACAGTCACACGGAGAAACACAGATACACACATATAGACTTCACAGTCACACCGAGGAACACAGATACACACATATAGACTTCACAGTCACACCGAGGAACACAGACACACACATATAGACTTCACAGTCACACAGAGGAACACAGATACACACATATAGACTTCACAGTCACACCGAGGAACACAGACACACACATATAGACTTCACAGTCACACCGAGGAACACAGATACACACATATAGACTTCACAGTCACACCGAGGAACACAGATACACACATATAGACTTCACAGTCACACAGAGGAACACAGATACACGCATACAGACTTCACAGTCACACAGAGGAACACAGATACACACATATAGACTTCACAGTCACACAGAGGAACACAGATACACACATATAGACTTCACAGTCACACCGAGGAACACAGATACACACATATAGACTTCACAGTCACACCGAGGAACACAGATACACACATATAGACTTCACAGTCACACCGAGGAACACAGACACACACATATAGACTTCACAGTCACACAGAGGAACACAGATACACACATATAGACTTCACAGTCACACCGAGGAACACAGACACACACATATAGACTTCACAGTCACACCGAGGAACACAGATACACACATATAGACTTCACAGTCACACCGAGGAACACAGATACACACATATAGACTTCACAGTCACACAGAGGAACACAGATACACGCATACAGACTTCACAGTCACACAGAGGAACACAGATACACACATATAGACTTCACAGTCACACAGAGGAACACAGATACACACATATAGACTTCACAGTCACACCGAGGAACACAGATACACACATATAGACTTCACAGTCACACCGAGGAACACAGATACACACATATAGACTTCACAGTCACACTGAGGAACACAGATACACACATATAGACTTCACAGTCACACCGAGGAACACAGATACACACTTATAGACTTCACAGTCACACAGAGGAACACAGACACAGACATGCCTCAACAGTCATACAAAAAGCACTCACAGATGCATAGATATAAACTCACATTCAGGCAAAGACACACAGTTATCACACAATCAGATACACACTCACATAAACATTGATACACACTAACAATGACACATACACACACAGACAAAAAAAAACATGCAATCACATTACATGTGAGAACAATTTGACTTTCCCTTACCTCCTTTAAGATTAATGTAGATACAATACAGCCAAGTCTCACACACTATACCTCCCTATCTGACACATAGCTGCTGCCGAGATGCTGTTCTGCTTCCATGCCTGCTTCCCTGCCCATATTTGTCTCTGAATCCCCTATACTAACCAAACCCAACTTATAAAAACTGAACGTTGTTCCCCAGCCCGCTGTCTGTAGAGAGTTTATGTTTTTACTCTTTAGAATGGAAAACTCCTGTGGTTTTGATGAACTGATGACTTGTAATGCCACACAGCGGGTGGTGACTAGTTAATCACTGATGGACCAGTGTCCACGTCATGCAAGCCTTTGGTTGAATTACAAACACAGATTGAGGAAGAGGAGGCAGCAAGCCCAGGTCCCTGTAGTGCTTATTGTATGTTCTCCTGTGTCTCACTGTCATTGAAAACAAGAAGAAGTGATGCCATAGCACATTCCCCAGCACTTTCATAGATAGGTTACGGCTTAATCATTGTTATATTAGGTCAAAACCCCTTCAAGCACATTACCATTTGGCCCACAGTGCTACCTATGGTCAGGCATGTTTGTCTATTGGAAGGAGCAGGATACATATATTCCAAGTGTGACACCATTTATTGAGAGGAAGCACAGTAAAAATGATCTGTGCCTCTAGAAGTCCTCAATGCTCACCACCAGTCCAGTCCATAGAAACAGAACTGAGAAATGCCTGGACTGTTAGTGGGAACAACAGCTTTAGGGTGTCATCAAATACACTGAGAGTGAGAGAAGGGTGAAGAGATCTGTGCCTTCAGTGTGTGAAATAGTATATAGAAAATGGAATGTTAGAGATCATTACATGCAGGGTATTTACCAACACTCAGCAGAAGGTAACAGGGTAGAGAGATCTGTGCTCCCAATGTTTGTGTGGTACACAGCAAAGCAAGGGGGATGGGGACTTACATGTGTTCCCCCAGTGTATATGGTATATATTAATAAAGAATAGTAAATAGCACAGTGCACAGTGCAGGGTTTGTGCCTCCATTGTGTCAGACCAAATTAGAAAGAGAGCAGAAAGGAGAGATCTGTGAATTACAAACATCATACAGAAGAGATCTGTGCCCTCGCTGCGTGAAACAGCGTTACACGTAATTTCCCAATCGTGTATAGATAATGGTGGATGGAGTCCACATCTCTTCTGCTACTTGGGTCTTGAGTTCTACTCACTCACCTGATTTCCTGTGGCCCCTATTGCCACAGCATTGATAGTGGAAGATTATAAAATGAATGTATCTTGAGGTCAGCAGACTGGACTTGATCATTTAGTTCAGATTTGTTTTAATTTAGAGGTTGTGGCAATACATTTCAAAACCTAACACAGGACATGCTAGGCTAGGGTCACCCTGCCTCCCATTTGCTAATTTTTCTTCAACCAGGAACTACGTGATATGATGGTTAATAGAAACCAAGTCTAAAGAAGATCAAGTTCAGATCATCATTAATTAAACTGATATAATTATGGTTAATAAAATATCTATTTGTGTTTCTTTGTATCAATCATGTTATAGTATGAAGGAAATTATAATGTGAACAAACCTGACCCAGCTAATTTATGTAGGAAGCACATTTAATGGAAGCCAAAGAACTAGTGCCCCCATTCTATATACAATGAGTTAGCTCAGCTGGTACAGTAAGATACATTGTTTGTGTTTTATATGCATTGCTTGCAGGAAACAGTGCGCTAAACCTTTGAAATTGTTTCGTAGGACATACTGCACATTGCTAACCATCTTCTCAATGAATCATCCTGGAAGCCAGCTGCCAGTACAAATACTGCTCTTGGACCACAGATGCTGCAGTGCTTTGAGAGTATTTTGGCTGGGATGGAAGCCACCAACCAGTCTTTCAATGTTTCCTTGGAAAACATAGACTTTCAATATAAAGTTATGTCTTGTAGCAGCTTGCTGAATCAGACTAATGTTGAGATTGGTTTTAATGTCAACATTTCATTAAGTCGTGAAGACAATGAAACTGATTTCAACCCTTCATGTATGGCAAATATAATGTCATTTTCCTACAAATCTCTCAGTAATGACTTTCCAAATGATTATGAAAACCATAAAGATCCGAGCTTATTCTACAAGGTGAACAGTCGAATTCTGACAAATACAATGTTTCTTGATCATAAGAACTACCATTCAGCAAATGTCATTATGAGTTTCCCTTGTAATACCAAAGAATGCCACTCCACGGCCATATGTGTATTCTGGAATTTCACCCTCGGCAAATGGTCATCTGAAGGATGCACAACTAAGACAGATGATGAAGTAGCTAGTTGTCTTTGCAATCACCTGACTTCTTTCTCTGTGTTAATATCAAACATCCTACCTCAAGGACATTTAGACATTTCCATCCTTGACTACATCACGAACATTGGTCTAATTATCTCCGTAGCGTCACTTGTAGTGTGCATTTCTTTACAAATGTATCTTATGAAAAGTACCGTAAACCTTGTGGCTTACTACCGACACTTGGCCATACTAAACGTGTCTTCATTCCTCCTTTTAAGTAATGTCTCATTTCTGGGAGCCAGTTATATCAAACCACCACAATTTCTGAGGCTTTGTGTAGCTCTGACGTTCTGCACCCACTTCTCTCTTTTGGCTTTCTTCTGCTGGACCTTGGTACAGAGCTTTTTTCTGATCTGCCGTTTAGTCTTTGTGTTTCACCACATAACGAAGAAAGAATTCATGACCCTTTCCACAGTGCTGGGATATGTTTGCCCGATGCTGATTGCGGTTGGCACTTTCCTATACTACACTCCTACAGACAACTACCGGAGGGATAATGTATGCTGGTTGCAAACTGAATCAGGGGCTTCTCTGACATTTACCATCCCAACAATAATAATTATATCTCTAAATTTCCTGGTACTCTTGGTAGTAATCAAAAAACTTCTCAGACCATCCATTTCTGAGGGAAGCAGTGAGGATGAGGAGGTTGTGAAGAAGCTGGCGAAAGCAATCGTCTTTTGCACGCCTCAGTTCGGGTTGACCTGGGCCATTGGAATTCCACTGCTTACAAATGGAGAATCAATGTTTTTACAATATCTATTTGTACTGCTCAATCCTCTCCAGGTATATTCAATCCCGTTACTATGTGGTGGTTCATGTCTTACCCAGGACACTTTTAATCCCGTCATATGTTATAGGAAGAGCTGTATAAGACATAAAGGGCTAATACCTAATGATGTTACTTTGTACACAATCTATTAATAAATGTTCAGCCAGTATAAGCATCAAATATACTTAATGAATGCCAAGCCGCGTTCAACATGTCTGATGCTCGGCAAAGCTCTTGACGCAAACTCATACACCAACATGAGGAGAAACAAAGAAAAAGGCAAGAAAAAAAAACGAGCTCATAAATAAATATAAAATTTTAGCACCCTCTAATTTGCAATTATCTGAGACGGTCTATCAACCCTTTCTTGAGGATAGTAGTATTTTAATTGTAATATATATTATATGAAATAAGAGATACATTTTTCTGTAATATGTGTATGTAACAGAGAAAAACGTCTTCTAAAATCTAATACGTTAATGGTTCATCAGAGTATTTCACAAATCTTCTCCTTTGTTTTCCCAGGGTTTTTTCATCTTTATTTTTGGTTGCCTCTTGGATAAAAAGGTATGGAATGATTTCTTGTCATCGTGTACTACTATGTTATATATGTCATACATGGGATTCATATCTCAAATCAGATAAGCTGTGTTTTACTCCAAATATTTATAAAAGGGAAGATTTATATAAATTAATATTGGACAACTAATTTCAGATTGTAGAATCCTCAGGAATAACAGTCTGTACCAGTAAAGCCCAGCATTCTGTAGCAGGAGCAGCCATCCACATAACCCGGGATTGTGTTATAGTGTGTGTGTATGACTGTGTGTGTGTGTATGACTGTGTGTGCGTGGAATATTTGCTGACAACTAGCTGCACAAATTTCAGCGACACTTTGATAAATTTCATCCAAAGTGTCCCTAGAATATTTTTTTGCAAAAGTTGCCAACTATGCACGCTGTCAAAGCATCATGAAGCTGTAATTCAATGTCAGCTGTAGGACTACCTACTGGATGGAAATTGGGACACAGTGAGAAAAGATTAAATCCTGTCTTGTTTCAATTTCAGGTGTTAGATCTTGTGAAGAAGCGATTGTCTAAGAACCAGGGTTTCAGCAGCACGGTAAGATCATTCAGTAGCCACATTCAGTAGCCACAAGGGTGTGTGTTCACCTTGTATTTAAACACAACTCTTGTATGTTCATCCACTTACTTAAAGATTGGAACACCTGCTTTCAAGAAGCCATTGCCAGACATTCTGCTTGGAAGCTCTGTGATCAAGCAGGGATATTCTTTTAATAAGAGAGAACATGCAATAAATATAAAAATTGGAATGTGCAGGAGATGATCTATACTTTTAGACATAGGCTTCACACCCCAATACACAACCACTGCACAGGGTGAAGTAACTTTACAATCAAATTCCTCATTTGGGAATTTTTGTAGATAAATCATTTGGAAGTTTTCCCAACAGTTTTAAATCATTTGGAAAAGCTTATTAAATTGAGGTCTAAGGCCTTGATTTATTAATTTTGGATAAGATTTTGAAATGATTCAATAAAATAAATAAATCCAAATAATAAAATATGACAAAATACATAATAAATAATATATATGTATATCTCAATGTATCAAAAATATCAAAATATTACAAAATTAAAATAGTTTACATAATATTAAATCATTTTAAGAATTTATCCAAAATAATAAATTAGGTTCCAAGTTGGAGAATTTTCCAAACCAACTTTTTTTTTACAAAACAAATGAATAAAATTTGGATTTCAGTTGAATTCAGTGTTTAGTGACTTAATCCCTTTGTGGACTCAACAGATTTGTCAATAAAGGGTTAACGTTTAATAAATCATCCCCATAGATATGTTAATACATTCCCTATTTAATGTCAGCAGAGCATAAATTCTCGTGTTACACGGACACATGTTTTATAGTTTCATACTGGATTAAGGTTGTATCAGATATATCTTTAATTAAATCACGTTTAATTTCTTGCAGGCTACAACTCTCAGCACATATTAAAAATTCTGGACTCCAAGGTAAGCAAGTATTTAAAAAACAGCAAGCTCCGTTTTAACAAATATTAAAATTATATCAAAACTACATCCAAAAACGAAACATTGCAGCCACTTCGCATTTCTCTTGGAAGTTAAAACATACATTTAGATGTCAATCGTGCTCGGTTTGTCCGAGCAGAAAATACACTATTAGGCAACAATGGTCTCGATATACTATTGTTAAATAAGTATTCCAAATTACTTCATATTTTTGGATAAACTTTTAAAATGTTTTTTTTTGCAACATGTTACAATTTCAAAGCATATTTCATATATTAAAAAATATACGGTTATGGGAAAATAAAAATATTGCATAACTAAATAATTTTTCCTGATCTTAAATCATTTTAAAAGTTCAAAATCATTGAAATAATTCAGGAAGCTTATCCAACAATATTAAATCGAGGCCCATGTACTGAATTAGTCAACTTATCCTTATCAGATCAAGCAATTCCACTTTAGGCACATATTGAAAAGAGTGAAGAAACCAAAATATTGGAATTTTCATTCCCTTTTTCTGAGCACTGGCAGTGGAGGACTCACAGCCAGCAGACACACAAACAGCTGGGTTTGCAGATATACACATTGCTGTCACCGGGGGTTTCATTATCAACAGACAGACACAGTGCTGGGATTGGGTGACACATTTTATAACTAAACACTTGTGGAAAAATTAAGAAATTGAATAAAAGAAAAAGATCACAAAACAGAGATTAAAGTCACAGGCATCTGGATTTGATGAGCACATGAATGAGCAGAAAAAAACCCTTACACATGTATAAAACTTACAACTTTTACATAACAAGCTTACTTATCTACCTCTAGGCTATTTTCTATGTTGTAATTTAGCATGGGAGTGTAAGGCTTTCAAATGTACATAGACAACTTACTGGAGGTTATATGGGACTCTTCAGGAAATGCCACCAGATGCATACTGAGCATGTGTGAGATGCACTCAAACTGGGCGTTTTTCACAAGCGACCAAAGCTCTACAGCTGCTCTCAACATCTTATCATTCATTATCAATGAGTAGGTTTGAGCTGTGGTGGAAGAAGGGGAGGGCAACTTATACCACTGCAGTACAGTTTGGGGTTCCATTTATAATGGAAATTTTCAAAGTAATCCTTTTTTTTCCAGGAAAACAATGACAGTTATTTATTTTTTTACTATGACAATAGTTTTTTGGGGGGGGGAATACAAAGGGACAAGTTTCCTAACTTCTATCTCAAAAAAAGTCTCATTAAAGCAGAAAGTGAATGTAAAATATGTTCTTAAAAAAAACGCAAAAATGGACCTGCTTTGTTAAAAGTATTAGACAAAAATGAAAATTTTTGAGAATATAAACTATTTTTCTTCTTCTCCAGAATCTGAAACAGGTGTCGTGGAGCATCTATATGTCTGCAAAATGCACAGTTACCGAGAGACTATCCAGGGATTCAGTCAGTAAGAGGAATGAGCTGGAATTCCAAACAGAATTCAGAAATATCAGGAGCTCACCCATGTCCCCCAATAAATGTTATCATATCCTCAAGCACTTCTCGAAAGGAGCTTTTATCATTTCATTTCAGAAATTACCAAATTTGTGAAAACACCAAAGCATTCAAGAATTCAAATCATTGAAATGGTTCAATAAAAGTGGCCAAATCTGTGTAGTTAAAATGTTGATGTTTTCATTCTTATTACTCAATGCAAATACAGCAAGCCAGGTATACTGTGCAGGGTACTTTCACAGGGTACCAGGTGATGTCAGGCAATCAGTCATTTATTTTATACCCATACAATGGCTGGTGCTTAGCAGATTGTAGCCAAAAAGTGACACTGAAAAGTTGCTTCTTGAGTAATTCAATATACTGTTCTTTGGATCTCATTATCTTGTTATTATTATTATTACTGTTCTGGTTATTATTACTTTTAAAGTAACAACACATTACTTAGCACTGTACAATGGGTGAACAAAGCGTCCAAGGAAATTCACCTAGACAAGTTTGACATACATGTACAAGAGGTGGTTAACTTCCTGCTCAATTTAGCTATCAATCTAAATGGGCTAAAATTCCAGAAAAGATTACGGTACAGTACATTCTATTCAGAGACAAAATGGATTGTTGGGTGAACTGACAGCACTGTCTGTAAATAGTGTGTGACTTGAGTAGACATGAAGGAGACGATAGGAGTTAAAGAAGACAAAGGGGAAATGTGACACCGGGGACAGTTAGTTACTTGGTAATGGAATGCTTTTCTACAGAAGTGAGCTTTTAAGAACTTGCCAAAATCATGACAAGTAAGGGAGCATCTAAATTCTCTGGGAGGCAAACCCCATATGAAAGAGGCAGCCCTGAAGAAATCTGATAGCCAGATTGTGGACAGAGGAGAAGCCCAAGTCTTCTGAGAAATGGAGGGCACAGGATGGGGTATTTATCAAAGGTGATGCCCTATACTCTGGCTGAATATATCCATTATAAATCTCCCGAGTCCCAAGCACAGTAGTGATTAAAGCCCAAGTTCCCCAAACATCTTGATGAAGGGTAAAACGAATCTCTTGAATTTGGCCAACTGGTCAGGAGGCTGGAGAACATGCCCAGAACAATCCCACAAAATGGCTACAATTTACAGTGTCAGCATGACTAAGCATAAATAACATAAAATAAGAAAACACATAACAATACATAATAATCCTATAGGAACCCCCACAAATGTTATATCCCCGGATAGCTTGGATCTGAGCGCCCAAGTTGTCCAAATAGCGCTCAGATCCATGTAGTGTAGGGGAAACACCACCATGTCCTGACCGTCCGCACACGTGGTCTTATGCTAAAAACAGTTCCAGGGCGTTTTGCCAGTCAGCTTTCGAGAGCTCCTGTGGCCGCAATATGGGGTGCTCCGCTAGGCCTTAGGCATTTGTTCCCCTTAATCTCAGGCACCTTCCTTCCAAAATGCACTCTACTAGTCGTTCAAAACCCTGGACCAAGTTGTCTGGGAGTCACATGGTCACCACATGCCGGAAAAAGTTCCATAACATTCGCAGCTAAGTACCGCTGAGAACAATTTGTGGGTTTCTTCATTCGAACCGCCACCAGGGAGCTAGGGTTTTGGTTCCATTCGAATGAAGGGAAAGTGCAGAACCCGGGGCACCTAAGGAAAGCTGCTAATGGAGGCTGGGGAGATTTAACTCCCGAACAGGGTCTTTGTATGTGGCCCATAGTCCTTGTGCAGGAGGCTTGCTAGCAGGCTCCTCCAGGAGTTCGTGATAAACGTCCAGGATAAGGAGCGTTTGTCACAGGTGGGAACTAGGAATATAAATTGAAATCTATCTAGAAGATATATAGTGAGCTGTTTTAATGACTGGCAGAGTTGAGGTGGGAGATAGTTACAGTGTAGATTTTAGTTGCATTAATAGGTACTAAGAAGTTAATTTCTCATGCAATTGAATTTGAGAAAATGTCCAGTCACCCAGGGAACCAGTGTGACAAAAATATTGGGCCCAGAGCCTTGTGGAACTCCAACAGAACGATGCATATGGATGTGCCAGAAAAGGAGACATGGAAGTAATGGTGAGACACCTGTGCAGAAATTCATGAAAGAGCAAAATCATACAGGCCAAGGTGAACACAAATATGTTGGCACACAATGTTGAAAGCAGCAAAATACTTTAAAGAATTAGTGGGTACAAGTGAACATCAAATAAAACCAAATATTTTTAATGTACTCACTCCCGGCCTCCACTCAAGGGAAGAGGGTGGGGGTGCTAATTACGTGCCATTGTCCACAAAATTAGTATGCCCTCTGGATGGCTAGGGGCACCATTGTTGCCCAGTCGCTTGTTTTTAATGTATAATGGATATGCCACCACCTTCTGCATAGCGGGGGAGGTACATTAACTCCATTATAACAAAATGGGGATCTTTTTTTACTATTTTAATGTGGTGGGGTTGCACTGCAGAGAGTTTTTTATGCGCACTGAATGTTTGTGTGAATATTAACCTGAAATTGTTTCTCGATAATTCTGGTACAGTGCACCCTTTCTCTCATGGTTTATAACACTACATTACAGTATTACTAATGATAATGTAGTATTAGTAGTTACATAACAGTATTACTGTAATGTCAGCCATTCTGACAGACAAGCCTCTCTGCTAATGCCCATTCTGGTCTGTCAGACAGTTCAAAGAAAGCAATAGGGGGCAACTGCGCTCATCCAGGCTCATTCTCTTTAGGCTCATCCAGTCTTCTTACCTTTAGGAGAGCTGGTGTGGGTCCTCTATTCTTCTCTCACCTGTCCCCCATTTTCCCTTTAACTTATTTCAATAATTTCACTGTTTATTGACATTTTTTTTTATTACTCCCATTACTCTCGTTACAAACAATACTGATACTTTTCATATAACATGTACGTAATAACTGCGAATGAAGGCCACATAAATCCTGATTCATTCTACAAAGTAGCAGCTAATATAGAATGAAGTGAAATCAGTAAAATTCTAGATTTCGTGCTGCAAACAAATCCCCCACAATCTGCTCTCCAAATTCCAAATCTAACTAAAAGCTACAAACGTATAATCTGCTAAATGTAAATGTAGTCTTCATGCACTGCCATTCCCCGTTGTCTTCATGCACGGCTATTCCCCGGTGTCTTCATGCACGGCCATTCCCCGGAGTCTTCATGCACGGCCATTCCACGGAGTCTTCATGCATGGCCATTCCCCGGAGTCTTCATGCACGGCCATTCCCCGGTGTGTTCATGCACGGCCATTCCCCGGAGTCTTCATGCACAGCCATTCCCCGGAGTCTTCATGCATGCCATTCCCTGCATGCACGGCCATTCCCCGTTTTCATGCACGGCCATTCCCCGTTGTCTTCATGCACTGCCATTCCCCGCTTCATGCACGGCCATTCCCCGGTGTCTTCATACACGGCCATTCCCCGGAGTCTTCATGCACGGCCATTCCCCGGAGTCTTCATGCACTGCCATTCCCCGTTGTCTTCATGCATGGCCATTCCCCGGTGTCTTCATGCACGGCCATTCCCTGGAGTCTTCATTCATGGCCATTCCCCGGTGTCTTCATGCATGGCCATTCCCTGGAGTCTTCATTCATGGCCATTCCCCGGAGTCTTCATGCACGGCATTCCCCGGAGTCAATGCCGGTCTAGGTGATGGTTCTAGGTCATTCAGTCGCTATGGATTAAAGTCTCTATATTTTCTAATGTCAAATAACTTCTATGACCGATACAATGCTGGAACCAGTGGCGAAACTACCGCTGGTGTAGCTGGTGCGGCTGCACCAGGGCCTGCACGCTCAAGGGGCCCATGCACCGAGAGCCACTCAATGGGTCTTGTTGAACAGGGGCCCTTTGAGTGTTGACTGGGCCCCTTTCACATTTGCCGGCTGGGAACATAGACCAGCTCTCTAACGTGAAGAATCCCTCGAATCCCCACACTAAAGAGCGCTAAAGTGGTTCATTTTTATGTTTTGTGGCACTACTATATGTCATTGCCATCTAATAAAGTTTTATTTTTTTCAATTTTGCTACACATTGGACCTGAATATCCATAGTGGTAACTTTGTTCTTTGTCTGAGACCAGTTCTCATTTTTTTTTCTATATTTGAAGGGGTTAACTTTTACAAAGTAACAGATCATCAATCATGGACTAAATCTAGATTGCAGGATTATATATGGAGTTTGATTGGCACTAAATACAAACTGCTCCTAGTTCAGCTGGCAGTCAGACATGGCTGGTAATACCGGTATGGGCTCACCTTGTGTCTCCACTGCCTTTTTGTATGAACAGTAAGGGGAGTGATGATGGTACCATTGGCATCCAATCACTGGTAGATGCTTAGCAGCCGTCTCCTGGCATTACAATGATTTATTTATGGACAGTAAGGTATGTGTGGTGATGGTGACGTTGGCATCCAATCACTGGAAGATGCTCTGCAGCCGTCTTCTGGCATTACAATGATTTATCAATGGACAGTAAGGGGTGTGGGGTAATGGTGACATTGGCATCCAATCACTGGTAGATGCTCTGCAGCCATCTCCTGGCATTACAATGATTTATGTATGGACAGTAAGGGTGTGGGGTGATGGTGGCATTGACATCCAATCACTGGTAGATGCTCTGCAGCCATCTCCCGGCATTACAATGATCTATTTATGGACAGTAAGGGGTGTGGTGATGGTGACATTGGCATCCAATCACTGGTAGACTATTAGCAGCCATCTCCTGGCATTGCAATGATTTATTTATGGACAGTAAGGGGAGTGTGCTGTGATGGTACCATTGGCATCCAATCACTGGTAGATGCTTAGCAGGCATCTCCTGGCATTACAATGATCTATTTATGGACAGTAAGGGGTGTGGTGATGGTGACATTGGCATCCAATCACTGTTAGATGCTTAGCAGCCATCTCCTGGCATTACAATGATTTATTTATGGACAGTAAGGGATGTGGTGATGGTACCATTGGCATCCAATCACTGGTAGATGCTTAGCAGCCGTCTCCTGGCATTACAATGATCTATTTATGGACAGTAAGGGGTGTGGTGATGGTGACATTGGCATCAATCACTGGTAGATGCTTAGCAGCCGTCTCTTGGCATT